TCTATCTATCTATCTATCTATCTATCTATCTATCTATCTATCTATCTATCTATCTATCTATCTTCTATCTATCTACACCCATCTGTCTTTCCACCCGCTGCTCTTTATCAGTTGTAGAATGAGAAATAAAATCACCTTAGATCAATCTGGATTGTGTTCATTATCTGTTACTTAAATGACGTGTTTTATCCATGAGATTTGGCACAAAAGCTCTCAAACCACACATCGTTTCGCCAGAGACAATTCCCTTTCCATTTTGTAGTGTCTTTTAATCTGATAAGACTCTAATTTGCTTAAGTCTTTTAAATTGGGGGTTTAAACCGGTCCTAGCCGTTTTCTGATTGAATTCCCTTTAATTCTCAGTGATCATAAACTATAGTGAAAAGTAAATATTTCCCTTTTTTTGCACTGCAGATGGTGACCTATTACAAAGTCAATATGAATTTGGATCAATCTTCGACTATTTGTGTATTAAGTATAGCTGTCCTTTGACATCAGAGGCGATGTGGGAAGGCTGAGCTGATTCAGGGGGAAGCGAAAAGAAGGAGATGGTTTGAGGAATTCTTTGACAGTTCCATGTACATAGATATCACATTTAAATGAAAGCAATTCTATCTCAGGGCTGCAAAGGGGGCCACACACCTTTCCAATTGTAACATCTCCTTTAGATTTACTAACAGCGTTGTAGTATGAAGAACTCCCTGATTGGATATAATTTGAAAAAAATTGTTGAAGGTGGGCCCTTCCCTTAAACAGTTTTTGGCAGACCTAAAGGAAATCGTGCAGAAATTGTACAATGACATCGTAAGTTTCAGTGGCCAGCTTCATTTCCCTATAATGGGATTCCCTGCAGTTCTGTAGGTCTCCAAACCTGTCAACGGTAGAGCTTTTAGTAATTCACACCCACCCAGTCAGTCTATATGAAGAACAGATGGGAAGCTTGCATAGCCATGGGCCTAGATCTGAATTTAGGCCATAGCTTACTATAGGATCCAGTGAAATTATGTAGTTTAAATTAAAAACTCCCTGCTTCCTTTTTGTAGGATGCCTTGCAATTGGAATATATAT